GGGGGGGGCAGCGGCTCAGCGGATCTCGGCTCCCCCGGCCCCGCAGGCGGAACCGGCCGGGCCCAGCCCCAAGGGGGTCCCGGAGAGCCTGGGGCTCCGCGAGCCTCTGGCCGAGCCCTGGGCGCGGGGGCGGCTCCATCCGCCGGCGCCGTTAGCCTGCGCAGCCTGGTCGGGGCGGTCTCCGGGATCCAGGCACCGGTGAGTGGCCGGGGCGGCTCCTGGGCAGGAGCAAGTGGCTCCGGATCCGCGGGGATCGGGCCCAGCCGCGCAGCGCAGTGCCCCGGGGAAGGTGCCCTGCTGGGCGTCGTCTGGCCGCGCAGCTCCCGTGGGCTGGATCCGGGACTCAACGAGGCTGGGGTCCCCCCGGTGCCTTTAAAGGCTGGGGGTGACGGGGCGCCACCCCCCCCCCCCCGCCGCCTGGGGACGGCCCGGGGGAGCGGGCAGCAGCTAGCCCGGGAGCCGTCGTGGGGACGCTAGCTGACGGGTCCCCGTCTAGGGGCCACCCTCATTCCCAAGGGCCCCCTCCTGGGCCAGCAGCACAGCCCCGAGTGCTAGCAGGAGAAGGGGCTGGTGCATTCTGGGTCCATCCCTGGACACCCTCTGACCCACACTGGGTGCCCCCTGCCCCAGCAGTGGCCATGCCGCAGTACTCGGGGCATGCCAACGCCTCGCACCTGGGGCCAGGTGTGGCTGCTCTGCTGGACAGGAGCAGTGACTTCACTCTGGGCCTGAACATCTTCTCTGGCGCTCTGCATGCCGGGCCCCCCAACCTCTCCCTGATGCCGTGTGAGCTGGAGCCGCTGGGCTCCCTACCCCTGGACACCGAGGGGTCTGCAGCTTGGGGTAGCCTTCTGGGGCCGGCCCTGTCACTGGTGCTGCCTGTGGTGTACGCCCTCATCTGCGGCTGCGGCATCCTGGCCAACGGGCTGGTGATCTCCATCGTGCTGAGCTGCAAGCACAAGCTGGTGTCGGACGTCTACATCCTGAACCTGGCCGTGGCTGACCTGCTCTTCCTGGTGGGGATGCCCTTCATCATCCACCAGCTTGTCCAGGAGCACGGCTGGATATTCGGGGACTTTCTGTGCCGTGCTGTCACCACCCTCGACCTCAACAACCAGTTCACCAGCGTGGCCATCGTCACCGTGCTCTGCGTGGACAGGTACCCACCAGGGCACGCTCTGCAGCAGGGCACGCTCTGCAGCACAGCCCTTGCCCCATGGGGTGTCCTGTTTTCCCTTTGGGAAAATATGGTCACTTTACTTCTGGGCAGCTAGTGTCGCTCTCACAGCTGCGGTGTTGGCAGCCATGGTACAGGCTGTAGCCTGCGGGGTTGGGGCAACCCTGGGGGGTGGACAAGCCCCCAAAGGCTGAACTCACACAGGGCCCGAATGGCTGCAGGGCTGGAATACTGGAGGTGGGGGGAACAGGGCTAGAATAGTGGGAGGGCTTCAGGATAGAGGCAGAGCTAGGGGGTGGCAGGGCTGGAATGGGAGGGGGGCACCGCAGGACACAGGTGGAGCTGGGGGTGGGGCAGGGTTGAAACGAGGATGGGGGCTGCAGGGCTCCGGTGGAGGTGGGGGTGTGGCAGGGCAGAAAGGGGTGAAGTTGAGCCCCAGCAAACCCCCCTGCCCAGCTCCCTCAGATAGTGTTGAGCTGGTGTAGGGGGTCTGCACCCCCTGCTCAGGGCCTGTGGGTAGGGACCCCCTGCATCAGCACTTGGGTCATTGTTTCCTGGCCTCTCCAAGCTGGGGCAGCTGGGAACTCTGTCCCCTCTTTGAAACATGGGGCACAACAGCTGTCTCATCCCCAGCCCCATTGTCACCCCTAGATCTCCCTGCCTCACCCCCCCATCCTGCCCCATGCCCCTCCTGATGGCCACTCTCTCCCCAGGTACGTGGCAGTTGTGTACTCGTCCACAGTGGGCCAGAAGCGGACGCTGCGCTGTACGGCCCTGATCAATGCCGGCGTGTGGGCCAGCAGCCTGGTGATGGCCACGCCAGCCATGCTGTACGCCCGGGTGCAGCGGGAGAACCAGACGGAGCTGTGCCTCATGGATCTGCCAGGCCCCAGCAGCCTATACTGGTACACGCTCTACCAGTCACTGGCGGCCTTCCTCCTGCCGCTGCTGGTGATCACGGTGCTGTACTCCCTCACCCTGCACCACCTGTTCCGGGCCATGCACCGGGCGCAGCGACGCTGCTCGGCCCGCAGCCGGCGAGTCACCCGCATGGCGCTCACCATCATCACTGCCTTCCTCATCTGCTGGACACCCTTTCATGTGGTGCAGCTGGTCAACCTGACGGCCGCCCCCTCCGTCGCCTCCTTCTACCTGAACCAGTTCACCATCTGCCTCAGCTATGCCCACAGCTGCGTCAGCCCCGTCCTCGTCCTCTTCTGCACCGAGTTCTTCCGCGAGCGGATGGCCCACTCTAGGTGCGGGCGGGGCACGGGCTGCTGGGGACGGGACTTAATCAGGGGACCGGGGTGGGGGGGAGATGATGCTGCAGGTATGCTCATGGTTCCGTCAGGCCCCCCTACAGGCTGGGGCAGGAATTGATGTCTCTCCCCACCTACTTCTCCTGCGGGAGGGATAGCTCAGTGGTTTGAGCATTGGCCTGCTAAACCCAGGGTTGTGAATTCAATCCTTGAGGGGGCCAGTTAGGGATCTGGGGCAAAAATCTGTCTGTTTGAGCAGGGGGTTGAACTAGATGACCTCCTGAGGTCCCTTCCAACCCTGATATTCTATGATTTAACCCCTGTCTCCAGCCCCCCTTCCTGGGCAACCCCCCCAATCCAGCTTTGCCCCACCCCAGTGCAGAGATAGGGCTCTGTGTCCTGTGCCTGGCCTTGAAGGTACTCTGGGGGTGGGGTGAGCCCAGCCCTGCATTACTGGCCAAGTCAGGCACAGAACCTGCATCCCTGCAATCAGGGCTGGCTCCAGGCACCAGCTTACCAAGCAGGTGCTTGGGGCGGCCACTCCGGAGAGGGGCGGCACGTCCAGCTGTTCTGCGGCAATTCGGCGGACGGTCCCTCACTCCTGCTCGGAGCGAAGGACCATCCGCCGAATTGCCGCCGCAGATCACGATCGCAGCTTTTTTTGTTTTGTTTTGTTTTGTTTTTGTTTGGCTGCTTCGGGCGGCCAAAACCTTGGAGCCGCCCTGCTCACTCCCGCTCGGAGTGAAGGACCTGCCGCTGAATTGCCGCTGCAGATCGCGATCGTGGCTTTTTTTTTTTTTTTTTTTTGGCTGCCAAAACCCTGGCGCCGGCCCTGCCTGCAATCCAGATCCCCGGGGGGACAGCCTGTATTCGCCCCCCTCAGGAAGCCACTGCAAGGGCTGTGATCCCTGGATCTTTGCTGGGGATGATCAAAAGCCAGGCAGCTCCTTAGTACGCACCCCTGCTGCCCTCCACCTCCTGTTCTAGTCCTCACATCTGGCCATAGCCCAGCTCCCACTCCAGGTGTGAGCAGGGCCGCCGAGAGCGGGTTCGGGCCCTGGTGAAAATTTTTTTTCGGGTCCCCCAGCAAGGGCAGACTGGCTAAACAGGGCCAACGAGATGGGGGGAAGCCAGGCCCCGGGCCCCCTTCCGGACCGCCAGGCCCCGGTAATTTGTACCAGCTTCCCCCCCTCTCGTCGGCCCTGGGTGTGAGTGCATCCTGGTGAGTGAGCCCAGGATCGGGCCCCACTCCCGGTGTGGGCAATGAGCGTGGAGGTTGGGCCCTGTTCCGGGGTGGGCGGTGAGCCCCGGGGGTCAGGGCCATCCCTCACTCAGGGCTTTTGAAGTTTCACTCCAATCCCCCAAGTCTGGAGAATTGCCCTTGTCTGGGAGCTGCCCCTGACCTCTGATCCCAGGCCTCCTTTTGCCCTCCCCTGTGTCAGAAGCCTATGGAAGACCCTGAGATCTGCCCCGTCCCCTTGCTGACCTGCCCCCAAAATCCCCAGCCCTCGTGGGTTCTGCTCCCCCATTGACTCTGACTCTCTGCCCAGTCCTTCCCCCATCGGAGGCCCCTGGGGTCCTCCCCTCTGCTCCTCCATCCACCCCTCCCTTCTGCCCCAAATCCCCCTTTCCCCACAGATAGTGCCCAGCTCCACCACTCCACCATCCCTGGAATGACACCCCCCCACACACACTTGCTGCCTCTCCTGGGCCAAGCCACCAGTACCTCCAGCTCAGTGTCTCCCCAGTGCCTTCCTTGGCCTGCACCCCCCATGCCCAGCCATTGGGGGTCACAGTTCACCTGTTCCTGCCATCTCCCCCACAGTCTGCCCCTTCCCTGCCTGCACCCTGGCTGGTTTGCAAAGCGGGTGTGTGTGGCGCTAGCTGCATAGTAACCCCACTCTCCCCTGCTCTCTCTGCTCCCCAGGCCAGTCTAGTGCCAGCCTGCTCTGTCCTTTCACACCCGGCACATGAGCCTGCACCTGGGCAGCTCCTGCTAGCTGCCACATCTCAGCAGAGCCAGCAGCCAGAGCTCAGGGTCTGGACAGGGACCCGAGCCCAGGGGATCACTCTGCCCTCGTGGTACCTGAGGGATTGGGGTAATGGGGATTTGGGTTTCCTCCCACAGAGCCCTGCTGGTCCATGGGCTCCCATTCTATGAGCCCCACATCTCCGGCTGGAGCAAATGTCAGGATTGGGGGTGAACCCAGCTGCTTGGGGGAGTTCAGCCAGGACTGCGCGTCCCACTATAGCTCCCAGCCCCTTCCCACCAGGCAATCGGGGTCCGTCATGCCAGGGTCCGCTGCCTGCTGTGCTGCCTCCTGTTGTTGGCACCCTGCATAACAGCCTCCTCCTGCATAGAGAGCTTGCTTGCCAGGGCCGGCTGGAGTAGGAACGTTAACTCTCCCCCCACCCCCCATGGGCCCATTGGTGCCACAAAGGGCCAGGAGCAGGAGCCTTGGGTGCAAGGGGCAGCACTGCTTCTTGTGTCAAACAAAAAACTCTGACCTTCCTCTGCCCCCAGGCTGGTGAGATCCTCCCCCTCCCAACCAGACCCTTTCTCTGCCCAGGCACTGTCGCCACTCCATTCTTGGACACTCATCTTCCTGCTGTGTTGCCTGAGCCCTGATGTCAAGCTGTGCCCATGCCATACAGGCAGCTTGGGCATTGGCACACCCTCTGCCAGTGAGATGCTCTTAGTGGCGTTAGTTGCTGGGGCTGGGCTCCAGGGAGATCCTTAGTTTCTGGCCTGTGTCCCCCCCCCCGGCCCCCTTGCACCCTGGCTGCCCATGTGAGAGTGACTGTGTCCCCCTCTCCGCAGGTACTGCAGATTCATCACCAGGTGGAGGGCGCTGCGTGCGGGCACTGCCCTGCCCAGCCAGGAGCTCACCTCCACTGTCTACAGCCCACAAGTGGGCAGCGCCACGGCCCAGCGCTGCCGGCGCCCCTTCGGCACCGAGCAGCTGCCATGCTCCATGACCGAGGCCAGTGTCACCATCAATGGGCAGGAGGAACAAAGCGCCGTCTAGGAGCCTCCGTGCTACCAGAGCACTGACTTCAGTTGGAGCCCACGGATGGCCCCCACTGCTGCAGCATGACTTGGCAGGCGTGGGGACAGAACTTTGGTGATGCCAGGCCAAGGCAACATGCCAGGAGCCTCAGCCACGGCTCAGATGGGACTTTTCACCTCCCCATAGGACAGTGCAGATTCCCACCCCTGAGGCTGGTGGGAAGAGCCAGTCTAGCTCAACCACCAGATATGGACTTGATGCAGGAATTGCTGGGTGAGGTTCTCTGGCCCGGGTTATGCAGGAGGTCAGACTGCATGGTCGCAATGGTACCTCCTGGCCTTACAGTTGGCAGATCTATGAACCAGGGAGTCTGGGCAGGAAATGGCAGTGACAGAAGAGACTTTAATAAAGTAAAAAGAACGCACCGGGGTGGAGCCTGTCTGTCACCCTCACCCCCCCGGGGATGGGTGACAACTTAAATGTATACCCCAATTTAAAAAACATAATAAGAGAACCAAAAAAGAGCCACTGTGGTTAAACAACAAAGTAAAAGAAGCAGTGAGAGGCAAAAAGGCATTCTTTAAAAAGTGGAAGTTAAATCCTAGTGAGGAAATTGAGGTGTCATTAGGGGAGGTTTTGGAAAAAATTGATAAACTAAACAGTAATAAGTCTCCAGGATCTGATGGTATTCACCCAAGAGTTCTGAAGGAACTCAAATGTGAAACTGCAGGACTACTAACTGTCATCTGTAACCTATCATTTAAATCAGCTTCTGTACCAAATGACTGAAGGATAGCTAATGTGATGCCAATTTTTAAAAAGGGCTCCAGAGGTGACCCTGGCAACTACAGACCAGTAAGCCTCACTTCAGTACCGGGCAAATTGATTGAAACTATCATAAAGAACAAAATGTTCAGACACATAGATGAACATAATTTGTTGGGAAATAGTCAACATGGTTTTTGTAAAGGGAAATCATGCCTCACCAATCTACTAGAATTCTTTGAGGGGGACAACAAGCATGCAGCCAAAAGAGATCCAGTGGATATAGTGTATTTAGATTTTCAGAAATCCTTTGACAAGGTCCCTCACCAAAGGCTCTTAAGCAAAATAAGCAGTCATGGGATAAGAGGGAAGTTTCTCTCATGGATTGGTAACTGGTTAAAAGGTAGAAAACAAAGGGTAGAAATAAATGATCAGTTTTCAGAATGCAGAGAGGTAAATCGTGGTGTCCCCCAGGGATCTGTACTGGGCCCAGTTCTATTTAACATATTCATAAATGATCTGGAAAAAGGGGTAAACAGTGAGGTGGCAAAATTTACAGATGATTCAAAACTACTCAAGATAGTTAAGTCCCAGGCAGACTGCAAATAGCTACAAAAAGATCTCACAAAACTGGGTGACTGGGCAACAAAATGGCAGATGAAATTTAATGTTGATAAATGCAAAGTAATGCACACTGGAAAACATAATCCTAACTATACATATACAATGATTGGGTCTAAATTAGGTGTTACCACTCAAGAAAGAGATCTTGGAGTCATTGTGGACAGTTCTCTGAAATCATCCACTCAATGTGCAGCGGCAGTCAAAATATGCCCACAGCTTGAATACTGCATGCAGATATGGTCGCCCCACCTCAAAAAAGATATATTGGAATTGGAAAAGGTTCAGAAAAGGGCAACAAAAATGATTAGGGGTATAAAACAGCTTCTGTATGAGGAGAGATTAATAAGACTGGGACTTTTCAGCTTGGAAAAGAGGTGACTAAGGGGGGATATGATAGAGGTCTATAAAATCATGAGTGGTATAGAGAAAGTAAATTAGGAAGTGTTAATTACTCCTCATAATACAAGAACAAGGGGCCACCAAATGAAATTCATAGATAGCAGGTTTAAAACAAACACAAGAAAGTATTTTTTCACGCAACGCACTGTCAACCTCTGGAACTCCTTGCCAGAGGGTGTTGTGAAGGCCAATACTATAACTGGGTTCAAAAGGGAGCTAGACAGATTCATGGAGAATAGGTTCATCAATGGCTATTAGCCAGGATGGGCAGGAATGGTGTCCCTAGCCTCTGTTTGCCAGAAGCTGGGATTGGGTGACAGGGCATGGATCACTTGATGATAATCTGTCTGTTCAGTCCCTTTGGGGCACCTGCCATTGGCCACTGTCAGAGGACAGGATACTGGGCTTGATGGACCTTTGGTCTGACCCAGTATGGCCATTCTTATACCTGCAGCATGCAACACTCAGACGCTGCACACCACACGAGCACACAACACCCACACTTGGGCATACTCCACATACCCATCCTTCCCGCATGCATAATTCCCCCACTGGGCATAGACACTGCACACCCAAACACCTGCCCTCCTCCATGTACCATGCCAGTGCACACCCACATGCTCTCCCTGTGCTCACATATTCTGAGCACATGGTCATACTTAGCCCCCAAATTTAGGTTTAGCAGAAACAGATTGGAATTTAAAATAGCCCGACTGACCCACCCCCTTGTCCTGATTGCAATCCAAACATCACAGCAGGGGCTGGAGCATGAGAGCTACAAAGTGAAACTGACGAGAAGCCAAATGGAAACTGACCAGGCTGGCATTGACCTGGGGCTGGGGATTACACTATAAAACCCATTTGTGTGCTGTCATCGCTGGGTAATTAACAAATCAGGGCCTGACCCGCCCTTTCCCCTGCCTTGGCCAGCCAATGGGGGAAGTGGAGGAGAATCCTGGTGCTGTCCCTTTAAATTCATGCCCCCGTTGGATTTGCCTTGGTGCATTTCATGTCACAGGGGCCGTTGCCCTGTATGGGGATTTGCCCCTTCATGCCTCAAGTCCCCCCAAACAGCCCTGCAGACAGATCCCCCTCCTGTGAGCCAGCCGGTTCCAGCCACCCCCACAGGTCCCAGCCAATCCTGAGCTGAACTGTGGGGGCAGACAGAGCCATTCGGGGAGCCCAGGGCTGGGCTAGCAGGTGCTGCGAGTTGGGTGTGAGGGGCACCAGCAGAGCTGGAGGGAGCCCAGGGCTGGGCTAGCAGGGGCTGAGAGTCAGGAGTGAGGGGCACCAGCAGACATTGGCACTGACCCCAATGTTCAGTCTAAGCCAAGATGTGGGGGATTCATGTCTTTGCCCAAGCCCCCCGTGGCCTGGCACGTCCCCCCCCACACCCCGAGGAGGTGGGGGGCTGGGAAGGGCCCCACGCAGAAGTTAAACATTGGGGGCTGGTGGCAGAGGCCAGGTGCCTGCGGGCGTGGCTCCCAGGGCTGCCCCATGGCGTGGAGTCTGGGGGATCAGCTGGGAAGGGTGGTGCTGGCATCTGCACCCGCAGGGACCTGACCTTTCCCAGCCGTCAATGTTTAACTTCTGTGCCGGGCCCTTCCCAGCCCCCTGCCTCGGCAAGATCCACCCTCACCCCCCCCACCAGCCCCCCACTAGTCCGGGTTGTTATAATTACAGTGCCGCAGAAGATGGGGGAGCGGGGCTGGGGAAGGAGAAACCCCAAAGATTTCTGGCAGGATTGACTTGGGCAGCTCAGTACTAATGTAGACCCGAGAACAAATGGATATAAACTGGCCGTCGGGAAGTTTAGGCTTGAAATTAGACGACGGTTTCTAACCGTCAGAGGGGTGAAGTTCTGGAACAGCCTTCCGAGGGAAACAGTGGGGGCGAAAGACCTCTCTGGCTTTAAGATTAAGCTTGATAAGTTTATGGAGGGGATGGCTTGATGGGATAACGTGATTTTAGTCAATAGGTCAATAACGTGCCATCGCTGGTAATTAGTATCAATGGTCAATGTGGGTCTGGCTGGAGAATCTTGCCCGCATGCTCGGGGTTCTGCTGATCGCCATATTTGGGGTCGGGAAGGAATTTTCCTCCAGGGTAGATTGGCAGAGGCCCTGGAGGTTTTTCTCCTTCCTCCGTAGCATGGGGCAGGAGTCGCTTGCTGGATGATTCTCTGCGACTTGAAGTCTTTAAATCATGATTTGGGGACTTCAACAGCTGAGTCAAGGGAGAGAATTACTCCAGGAGTGGGTGGGTCAGCTTTTGTGGCCTGCATCATGCGGGAGGTCAGACTAGATGATCATAATGGTCCCTTCTGATCTTAAAGTCTATGAGTCTATGAGTCTATGAGGAGGGGGGCATGGGTGAGCGAGGGAAGGGATGGGTGGGGGGATGGGTGCATGTGGAGATAGATGGGGGATGGGCTGGTCCAGGGGGGCAGAGAAGGGGATCTAGAGCAGTGGTTTCTTCAGGAATTGAAATTAGGGGGGGTGTTCGAATTTACGGGGGGGGTGTGTGTGTGTGTGTCAGGGCCAATGAGATATATAAAAGAGATATAAATAAAGTAAATGTTTTGTTAGGATAATGCAAGTTACACCAAAACACATAACAGGGCTAGATTTCTGAAAAAAATATAATTTTTTTTTTAAAAAATGTATTTAATTTAAATTGACTTTTGAAAAGTAAGCCATCATGGGATAAGAGGGAAGTCCTCTCTTGGATCAGTAACTGGTTAAAAGATAGGAAACAAAGGGTAGGAATAAATTATCAGTTTTCAGAATGGAGAGAGATGCGAACAGGGGCTGCTAACAGGGAGTTTCGCAAGGGAGTTCTCCAGGTGAAGGAGGAGCAATACAGCACCCTTTTGGGCGGACAGGGGGCTGCAGACGAGAGTTTGACAGAGGGAGGCTTGCGATGGTTAGGAAGACCCGCAACACCTGTGCCAGCACTGTTTCTGTCTCCTCCACCTGTGCCTGTAGCCAGACAGAGCGCCTGAGCATGGATGTTTCTACCCAGATCCTGGTGTGGTTTTGCAGAGACTGTAACTTGCAATTTCCACTTACTGATATCCAGGCTGGGGGGACCATCCAATGTGAAAGGTGCCTGCTGGTGGAATCTCTCAGGCAGCAGGTGGGAGAGCTACAGGAGGAGGTGGCTAGGTTGAGAAGCATCCGAATCCACGAGCAATTCCTGGACAGTGTCCATGTGGAGACAGCTGAGGTAGCTGTCCCAGTACACAGGACTGCTGATACACCACTGGTGGAGGAGGAGATGGCTCAGGGTGGACACTGGCAGCTGGTTACTTCTGGCAGCAGGCAGTACTCCACCCCTGCTCCGAACCCTCCTGCTGTGGTAATAGGTAATCGTTATGCTCTTCTTGATACAGGAAAGAAGGCATCACCCCCTACAGTAAAGGAGGAGAAGCCTCGTACCCCTAAGGCTGGGAGGTCTGCTGCCACCACTGCGAATAGGAAACGTAGGGTAGTGGTGGTCGGAGACTCTCTGCTGAGGGGGACGGAGGCGCCCATCTGTCGCCCTGACATTTCATCTCGGGAGGTATGCTGCCTGCCGGGAGCCCGTATCCGAGACGTTACGGAGGCGTTGTCGAGGATTA